TATGACTGCACATCTTGAGAGCACCCACTAGCATTTTCGTCATCATCATCTCTAGTGACTTCTACTTTAGTTTCAGCAGAACGTCCAGAGAAACAACCTAAGCCACCAATGCAGTTCTTGAATAATGACGATGATGGCTTCACATTATTGTTCTCGGGACTAGCCCGTGCAGGAATGTTCATGTCGATTTCCATCTTGTCCTCAAAATCAACTTGAACAGGCGGCGAAGTTCCACTTTCAGCACTTTTGACTTTGCACTCAACTTCATCAGGCTTCACCTGAGCTACTAGGCTCTCCCTTTGGCCTTGATACATTTCCCATCCCTTGGGAGACAAATTATCATCAGCAGCATCTTCATGTATCTTCTTCTCCAAGTGATCGGAAGAAGTGGAGCTTCCCTTGTGACTAGAAGAAGTCGCCTGAGGTGGTGATAAGAAGTCATGGAATGGATAGCCTTGATTCAAACCAGTCTCCGAGCCTGAAGGATCAGTTTTCCCACCACAAACAGAAGAGTCTGGTTTAGACAATTCTGTTTCTTCATCACCATTACCTTGAAGACACAGTTTACTTGTTGTATCCTTTACAGAAGCAGCAGAAGAAACTTCACCATCCTGCAATATTTTACCAGCTACACTTGCTAAGATTTCAAATGCTCGTATCTCGCCCTCTTTATCTCCTTTCTTCCTGGTCAATCCTCTGCCCTGAAACAGTTGTAAGCAACGCATAAATAAAAACTGAGAATTATATTAGGACCTCTTGCAATTAGAACAGAATTAAGCAGATCAGCATGAACTCTACTCAGTGCATACCCTATATGATCGAGCAGCACGAGGAACCACAGGGACCCTGTAGCCACCGAAACCATATTCCAGCCTCCTTTCCACTGACATATCTTACACATTCATAGTGAAAGGAATTCATTAATCAAAACAAAACCAGCTTTACTGTCTAACCAACCGTCTGCAAAACCAAAATGTACGGCTTGTGGTCAGTAACTCCAACTAATAGTATAGAACATATTAATACGTGGCATTCATTCCAAAATTTTAAGGATGTATTGATGATGAGAGATTGGTGAATTAGCATAAGTTCACTTTAACCAGGAACTACCACAACTAACTTTTTGTCAGAGATGGGTGAATTAGCATCATCAATTATCAGGAGAGTATGACATGCAAATTCGAGCATGTATGCACACATTCATAATCAACCAAAGGCACCCAAAGAGAGAACGGAAAAGGGTTTCAAAGATAGATGAATTGGTGGCAGCGAACGAATTGGAATCAAGCTTAAACTTAAAAGGCGGAACATACAACAGCTTTTCTTCAGCCCATATATGCAATCAGAAACTTTTGATGAAGCCTTTCGAAACCAGCAAAGAAAAGCACCAGCCTTCAAACCTGCAAGCTCCAACATAGAATACAATCCACATGAGACAATAATCACTCCTCCCGTTTATAAAATAGAAAAATCTGACACAATAACAAACCAAATGAAAGAGAAACAATAAATTAACAAAGAGGGGAAGGGGAAAAAACAGTCAGAGAGGAACCTAATACTGTAACATAATTAAGATCTCAGACAAATACTATAATACTGAGTAAATTTGTCAGATCCCAAAAACCCCAACAAAAACCATTCCACTGTCGAGAAGTAATACCACAAAATTGACAAAAGAAACCTTCAAACCATTCATCAGAGATTAGAGACTGGAGAGTGTGGGAGCAGGGAGGGAGAGAGAGAGAGAGAGCTACATGGTTTCTTCACATTATTGATCTATCAATCATTCCACACAAGGGGAAAGGAGATAAAGAATGGTGATAGAAAAGAAACTAACTTTTCGTGGTACCAAAAGGGGGAAACAATTTTTTCAAACCAGACCCAGATCAAATTGGTAAATGATTGATTGATCCCCTACCTCCAGAAAAAGCAAAGCAAAAGGGAACTCTTTTTTTTTTTTTTCAGACAGTTTCAACTTCAGACAAGCCTAGGCAAAACAAAAGTAGAAGAAAGACATACCCACCTGCCAAAATTCTCACAAGGACGGCATCTGAATTGAATGAATGAAGAAACCACCAACCAACTACAATTTATTCAAATTAAAAATCGAACCTTTTTCTTTTCGACAGGGAAGGACATTGAGAGAGAGTGAGGAACGACAGAGAATAAGCAAGGAAGGAAAAGGACAAGGGTTAGTTTGTATATCTGAATCCTGTGTGGATGATGATCATCAAATGAAACCTCCCTGCAAAACCACCCAATGGGCTTTCCTTTCTTTTTCTTTTTTTCCTTCTATTTATTATTAAAATTAATATTCTCTCGCTCTCTTGGTTAAACTCAAAACCCAAAAACACAGAAGGAGGAACTGGCGGTGGGATTTACCGGCTACTATACACGGCATAATAAAGCAGAAGAGGAGGGCAAGGGGAAAGCCAAAAACCCTCCTTGGACCAGTTCCTTCCTGACCTCCGAAAGGGGTGATCCACTCAACGAGAGAAAGTTTTGTCGTCTTATTGACACGTGGAGGCGTCTCCCTTGTTGTGGGTTAATCTTATCTGCTTACACATGTTGGGTGGGTAATTAGCGTTGTACAATGCCAAAAGAAAAAGCTTGGAAATTTAAGAGACGCGATTCAAGTTTTTACACTTTGCAGTCGATGCACGGCTAGGTGTCAAAAGTCAAAACCCGCATTGTTAGCTATACATGTTTCTTTTTTTCCTGAAACTGGAGTAGTTATAGCCATAGAAGTTAGTTACCCATATCATGCCAACACAAAAAAAAAAAAGTTAGTTATTGCTCACTTATTTTGATCCTACTAATATGGTAATGAAATTTGTAAGAAAAAGTTTCAATATGCAAGACAATCTACTGACCGAATACGCGTATGCAAATATTATCTATGTCTATTGGATGAATGATTATTATGTGATATTTTCTCATATTAATTATGACAAAAGAAGTGAGTCTGATGGGGCTTGGTGGGAGCTTATATACAAGGATATGTTACCTTGTATATTTTATATAGCATTTAGATTGTGCCATAATAATTTTCTCGAGATGAGGACTACAATTTTTGTATCCTCTACTCAGCGATGATCTTGACCGAGCAAACACATCGGTTGTTTTTACACTAGACCGATATAAGAATGGAAAATATATTGAAATGGAAAATGCGTTCTTGAATTATGCGTTCTTGAATTACAAAACAAATTGTCACCAACTACAACTTTAATTGAATTACAAATCATCGCAGCATCGATACCAAGCAACTAGAATGACTTATTATTTTCATGCAAGTTCCAAATATGCTCGACTAAGTTCTGACGAAGCCCATGATGTGTTGGCGTAGCATGAAGCCTGTTATTCCTAGCCAAGTACTCAGTTAGGGTTGAAATATCTCTGTCGACATTAGTTGGTTATTGGTCGTGGACCTCACAATCAAGACTATCTTCCATCTCATCGTCAGAATCAACCTACTCATCCTCGATTATCATGTTGTGCTATATAATGCACGCCAACATTATATCATTAAGTGTGGCAACATCCCAAGATCTCGCAGGGCCATGAACAATTGTCCATCTAGCTTGAAGAATTCCAAAGGCCCGCTCTACGTCTTTTCGATGTGCTTCTTGATATCGAGCAAACAAGAATTCTTTGTTTGAGCTTGGATCGTTGAATATTTTCACTTAAAGTTGACCATGAACGATAAATATCATCAGCCAAATAATAACATTGATCATAATTCATAGGTATGACCGTTTACCTCAAATCGTACTTGTGGAGCGATGCCTTTGAGGATACAGTCAAACACCGGAGACGTCCCCGGAATATTGATGTCGTTGTTCGACCCAGGCGGGCCAAAGAAAGCATGTCATATCCAGGTGTTGTATGAAGCCACAGCCTCGAGAATGATTCTTGGTTTACAGTTGTGCTCCAGGTTTTGCCCGGTCCAAAAATTAGGACAGCTCCTCGAGAATGAGGGTGCTGCTTTTTTGTGTGGTTGGGGTTAGGGATTATGGATAATAGAGTTAATGAAGGAGACCCAACATTTTTAATTTCTCTTTTTTTTTCTTCTTCTTTTATTCAAAATAAAAAGGATAAATGAAAATAAGTGGAAAAAGTCAAAATTCAAAATTTTTAAGGGATCTATGCTTACTTGACAATAATATGACACGTTAACCGTTAGTCAACGCATTTGACCTTCCACAATAACGGCCAAATCTCGATCTTGGATTTGACCAATTTCGTAACTTTAATGCATAGTTGAGACCATAAAATTATAGATCGAAAGATTGACCAAAATGTTAAATATGTGAAATGTCTGATTCATTTTAAACTCTAAAAGTAGAAATGCAAAAAAAAAAAACAAAAAAAAATTGTGCTCCAGAAACTTGTATTTCAAACTAAAGATCGAGGCAACTTTACCAAGTACTTACACGAAAGCCATAAGATTACTTCACAACAAGGGGGAACACCTACGAAACCGAGATGGACAAACGAAAGCTTTAACCTATGATAACCCAACATAATTCTGTAACAGTACTCTCAAATCACACACAATAACTTTCAGTAAAAATCAAACACTTGGAGAAGGACAACTATATGTTACACTGTCGAGGAACTTACACTTCCTAAGGGCTCTCATTAGGGTACTGCCATGGGTTGAATTCCAAGGATTCGATGTCGGTTACTTCTTCGACGGTATCTGAGGAGGCGTCGATTGCAGCCCGGTGTTCAGTATACTTGCCATTGTACTGGTATAGTTCCAACTCCCCCCAAGGAGTCGGGTGGACTTCATTGGTTTGATCAAACCATTTGGGAGTGAATTGTTCTCCTTTAGCCTCTCTCAGTTTCTTCTCTGCTCTCTGTCTCTCCTCCAGGCTGAAATAAGAATTAACAACAATGGTTACACCCCACACCTCCATATTTTGTCAACAAAAGACATGGGTTGAAGATCACCCTGCGTGCATTATTCTATATACACTAACCTGCTTTTCTCTGCACCGGATTTTGATAGGTCGCCTTTTTCCAGAGCATATCTGTCGGGGCGTAGACGGGAATCAGAGGGCAATAACTTTTTGGGAGCTGTGTCAAAGCTGTTCATCTTGTGTGCAAAATATGTGTACTGATGCTTGTCATTTTTGGGCGCCTCTGCAACTCTCCACACCTAGCAAAGTGCAAAAAAACATCACCAGCTGTTCAATTTACTTGTACAAAAAAGTTCATAATCCCATAATCAAAATGTTATCTTAACCACAACCACAACTCAAACAGTCAGCAGCAAATGTTCAGTATTGACTCGCATCTTGCACATAGATTTGACAGTTGACACCATGGACAACTTATCATTGGTACACAACTAAGACAAGAATGAAGCATTCGCTTTAGGGATTCAGGATGATATCACAACAACTTTAAAAAAAAATGTTCATGATTTAATAGGCTGCAGAAAGGACAAGCACCATGTACCACAAAAGAAAACCAAAATGTCAGCAATATCAATTACCTAGAACCTCAACCTTAACCGGTGCAAAGTTCAACACAGAAAGGATGGATTCAGAGAATTAGTCTAGAATACATCATCCAGATGAAAATTATGTACTAAAGTTAAAAGGCATATTCTGTCTCGATCAGAAGTTTAAATAGATTTGCATTCGCCACACTGAGAAACTTTTTATGATCCGTTGGAAACCAGAACCTACCTCCTGTAGCTCAGTACCAGCACGAGGTTCTCCTTCAAGGTCACAGGGTTGATAACTCATGGCTTCATTCCATTTCCCAGTCATCAATATCTTGGGTTCCTCATCAGCATTGTACACATAGCCATCCACTTCATAACGGCCAGTTCTGCAGGAATTTAAAACCAGTCAATGAATATAACATATTGCAACCCTAATGCAATGCACACACCAATACCAAAGATAAATGTTCATGATAGTGCCATCAGTGATTTAGAAATATAAACCAAGAAAAAGAGTTTGGCCAAATTAACAAGCCTTGAACTGCAAAATTGGCTTTCAAGAAAGGCATGCATGCGCAGTACCTTATTCCAAAAACAAAAGAATGAATAAGCATAGCATATGAAAACAGTATCTTACCCAAACCAACCACAAGGCTGAAAGTATAGCACCACTTTGTCCCCAGTAGTAATGTTAGTCAGCACCATCTCCCCTGGCGAATCAATCCATGTTCGTCCAAAGATTAAGTTGCTAACTTTTGTCAGGGGAGGCACCAAATCAAGGACCACACCATCCCTCTTAAGGGTCACACGTGACCTGCAATATACATCACAATTTCTTAGCTGAAATAACTAAATTGTGCAGAATATTCTGAACATACAACATTCATAAAACTCTTATCTAAATTATCATAGCCAAATACTATGACTAAAGATTTCTAATTTTATGGAAGGCTACGATTAAAGCTATAACAACACCACAGCAGTGAAAATGAAAACATCGAGGAATTGCAGTGGTTAACATGATTCTTGACAAACTAAGGCAAGATAAGAGCAGAATCCAGAAATAACCAAATATAGTTTATTCCTAAAAAGTAAAAACAGTACAGAGAAGATCATAGCCGAGCATTTTACAGAAATTGGTATCTGGTCCACTGGTACCATAGTTAGATACCCTTAATAACAAACAGCAATGTAAGCAATCCAAACTTCCCCTATCAATCAATCTACCGACCAATTTGGAGTAGCCACAGTCCAAAACTTGGGTTCAGAACATCCCCTTTTTGGAAAATGAAGTGCATACAGTCAAGACATATAATCAGAACATGACTACCTTTATCTGTCAACATAGACTAACATGAACATTGCAATCAAGATATATAATCAAGTAGGCAAGTCTGGAATTAGAACAAAAATAAGTCTATTCAGAGAAACGGCGAAGTGAATGGGATGCTACTCGCAACCATACCTTCCAAGAGGATAGATCTCGATTGAGTTCCCCAAAAATTTAGTCTTCACCTTGGAAGTTATATCATAAGTGAAATGCTCATTTTCAGCATGCCCGGCACTGATTGGAGGATGATGGCTGACCTGTGAATCAAGACGAATGACAGTAACAAGAATACAAGTCATATATCATATACGCGGACAAGCAATGAAGATAATTCAACATTAACTTTCAGTTGTATGAAATCATTGTTCAGGGAGGGAGAACTCACCTGTTCTGATATGAATGTAATGCCACCATGATTTGTAAGTTCATAAGTCTCTCCCAGAATTGGATTAAACGGCTTCCACGTGCGTTGAAAGGCATAGTAAACAGATATGAAGAATGATGCTGCAATGTGATACAATATCAGGTCTCATGTGCTATAGACCAGAAAGGTGGATCCATGAATAGAAAGAGAGGAAGGGGATATATGATTCACACCAGCATATACCAAACGCATGTGGGGATCATCACATTCATCTGCGAGATCTAACAGGTGGGAGTACTCCATCAAC